GGATCATCATCAATAATTTTACATCTTTCCACCACCTGTGTATGAATTATTCATATGATATGTGTACATACAACAATCTATATGTTTATATTTGTAAAATGTATTGTTTTAATAAATAAAATTAATATTTTATATAATTTTTCATACCTGTTTTGAAAAGTTTACAACGAATCTCAGCATAATATTTACGTGTTTTTTTTTTTAAATTATCCCAACAGTTCTTTAGAGAACCCACATCCCGATGTACTGAGATACAATTACTATTGAATTCTTTTGTGATCTTTACCCAACATTTTTCTTTATCTTTTGTACTAGTGTTATCAGTCTTTTTATTTTCACAACAATATTTTTATATTGCTCTATTAATTCAATTAGTTTTATTTTTTCAATATTTGAAAAATTAGGGGACTTTTTTTTATTAACTGTTGGAACTTGAGACATTTTATACACTTTATTTTGTACACAATATAAAATGCTACTCAGTTGACATACACATAATATAACCTCACAAATCACTCTGTGCAATCTTGTTTCCGTGTTTCCGTCCACCATTAATAATCAACCAATCACACTATTTGTTTGAGAGGAAAGAACAAATTTTTGAAGTTTCTTCATATAGACTATAAGTTTAGGTAACCTCTAGTTAAAGTTAACGTATAGGAACTTGTGAATCGCGATACAAGTTTAACCATGACGTTAAATTTAACAGCCGTTTAGCTAAGCTCAGTTTAAACTTGATTTTGTGGAACTGGGCCTTAGTAATTTAAATAATTATTACTTCTAATAACATTTTCCAACAATATTTTAGTGTATTTTTTAGTAATTTAGATAATAATTACATCTAACACAATATTTTCCTGCAATACTCCAGTGAACACTCTAATAATTTAAATAATAATAACTTCAAGTATCGATTTCCAGCAATTGCGACACTTTTTTCCGTCTCGCGCGTAAAACTGCGATGAGGTGGTCGACAAAATTTCGTCGTTAAAGGTAGCCAAAATCGGTATCCACAATAATACAAGCTTTTAGGCGCCAGGTGCATGGAAATTGCGCCACACGAAATTTCTGATTAACTCTAACGAAAACGACGGCCTAACTCCGACTAGCTCGTCCTCACACCAAGTGGTAGAGTGGCGGAGTTCTTTCATTTAAGATGGATTTGGAGAGAAAGGAGGAAGCAATCTCGAAGGTGCAATAATTGTACAAGGAATTAATAACAATAAAAAATATATTAACAATCAGTTTGGTTGATAACAAAGTATGGTAATTCTAGTCAGTCAGAAGGACTGCAGTTTAATATTCGGAGAATGATGCTTCGAGTTCAAGTGAAATAGTTATAATCACAGATCATGAGATAATAGACGCGGATAGTATCATAATTTGTTACACCCGGTATAAGATGATCGGTAATAACGTGGCGATCTTAGCCACTACAAATCTCTCAAGTATAACTGAACTCAACAACGGTATCTTTCCATATATATACGAAATGCGAAACTTAATAATCAACAAGCTATGACTCAAAATTACAACAAATCAGTACTCGCGACTGAAGGCCGGTACTCTACGCGATACGATAAGACATACGCGATATTACGCTTCCTTTTATAACTAATACTTCAATACATTCGACGACATACACAATTCACACGATACAAGATTTCACAAAAGATAGACTGTCGGCTCTGTAGCGCCCGAGGGGAAAGAATAAGAATTCTAACAATTGGACGGAAGTCGGCATGGCTTGTGTCTGTCTGGCGATCTAACTCGCCAGTTTTGGTAGCGACGATACACTTATTATTCATAAATACCAAAATCCGAATGCGCGCTCCGCGAGACACTTTGCCGTAGGCCGCTTCCGCTCTTACCCATGGTGGAAGTATACATGGTGTGCTCAGTTTGGCTAAACCACGCCCCTTTTCACGGCAAAGTGCCTCTCGTTCCGCACGGCTGCCAACCATATAAAATAAAATATTTAATGTCGAAAAGTTGCTAAACCTGGATTGGTTGCATCTTTATTGCACGCACGAGTGTGCATTGTGTCTTTTTCTACCGTGACGTTAGTGTTCACACGCCATAGCTGTTTACAGATCACTCTACGCGTCTTTGCACACGTGTGTTTTGTGCAGTTTTGTGTACAAAAAATACTGTATAAAGAAGGAGTGAAGTGAAATATGGTACGTTGTATAGTGAAATCGTGCATGAACTGCAGCGAAAGGTGCTTACCGGGGCAAGTAAACTTTTTCCAATTTCCGAAAAATATAGTGATGCGTGAAGGCTGGATTCGGAGAATCGGAGAAAATGCACCAAAAAATCTTGAGAATGGTAAAACTTATTAAAAATTATTAGGTGAACTAAGTTACATTTTATTGTAAAGTATTACATTATTTTAAATATTTGTATTTTAATTATAACTTGAATTTTTTCAGCAAAAATATGTTCAGCACACTTTACAGAAGATTCGTTCGTGAAAAGTAAGAGAAATTGCAGACGTGCCATGGGCATTCGAAGACGATTGCTTTTATCGAATGCAGTTCCAACGTTATTTTTATCACAAATGGAAAATAGGTAAATATATAATCATTAATAAATAGTAATGATGTAATAATTATTGTAATGTACATTCTTTTTTTTGTGTAACATTATCAGAATAATAATCGTTTTTTCTGTTTTAGTGGCAATGAAAATATTATGATGGACTTGAAAGTCATACGCAAAGATTTTCCACTTCCCGTCGTCTACAAAAATTTACACGCAGGATCATCACTTGATAAAGAAAACGATCCAGCTGGTGAATGTACAAGAAGCAACGAAATTTCGGAAGTGTCTGAAATACTTCAAAC